AGGACCACAAGACACTGCAACTGTCAAGCACCCAAATTGTGATTGTGTATGTGTGTTGCTGCGGTTGTAACTTCGAGGATGGATCATAAGTCACTTTTCTGAGGTCTTCATAACTTTGAACCATTGTGAAATGAACAGTTATAACTTAAAGTCTATCTACTGTGGCTTAGGTATAAACTTGATCTTTAGTATCTGATTTCCAACACTAGGTTGTCCCTCATACAATTTACTCCAGTTGGTGGACGATAGGAAGGAATATCTTTATGAAAGATCAATGCTTTTTAGTAAGAAAATCATTACAGGTAGTCCTTGACTTACAACCATTTGTTTACTGACTTTTGAAGTTATAATGGTACTGAAAAAATGGGATAAATTCACTTTACAACTATCTTGCTTAGCAACAGAAATTTTGGGATCAAATGTGGTCATAAACTGAGGACTACCTGTATTGGAAAATATCTAACTTCAATGTTGTGCTAATGCAAGTAGACAGTATCAACCCAATTGGATTAATGTTCTGAAATATAAAATTCTTTAAATTAGCAATTGACCACAAAAAATTGAGTACACAAATATAACATTCTATACTTTAGGACAAGGCAATCATAATGCCGTAAAGAACAGTGCAATCCTTTTTATTCAGTCTCTAAAATGAAGTTTGGAATCTCAACACAGCACTTTTCTGCAACATCTTAAAGTAGTTATTCATTATCCCAGGGGGAAAAAAGGAATATTTTAAGATGTTTCAAGCTAAGAGTTATGTTTGCATTCCTGCACAGTGGCAGTGTCTATCCTTTTTGGCTTAATACAACCACTATCACATAATGCGTGAATTTCAGATAGTAGAGAATAAAACTCTCTAGAAATTTAAAGTTTAATCAGAACATAAATTCAAGGAAACAGGGCATGTCTTAGAGACTACAACTTCTCAAAAATTATTGGCAATAAACCGTGATATCAAAGCTGTTCTAGAAGTAACACAAAATAATTTGGTAATAATTCTAAGTTGTTTATCACAGCAGCTTAAACTTTTTATGTCAGTCTTACAAATCCACAGAAGTTATTAACTGAATATCAGGTAGTCCTCGACATACAAGAGTTCATTTAGTGGCTGTTCGAAGTTCCAATGACTCTGAAAAAAGTGGTTTATGAACATTTTTCGAACTTAATGACTATTGCAAAATCCATGGCCACATGATCAATATTCAGATTCTTGGCAACTGATTCATATTTATGACGGTTGCAGTGTCCCTGGATCATGTGATCACATTTTGCAACCTTCTGATAAGCAAAGTGAATGGGGAAGCCACATTTACTTAACAAGTATGATACAAACTACACAACTGCAGTGATTCACTTAACAATTATGGCAAGAAAGGTTGTAAAATGGGGCAAAACTTGCTTAGCAACAGAAATTTTGGGATCAATTGTAGTTGTAAGTCAAGGACAACCTATAATTAGTTTTAGGAATTTTAAGTTTACTGGAAAGATAGTAAGTGGGTAAGTGGAGGTATGTTCTGTGTAACACAATTTCAGATTTATTATTATTATTAATTCAACTTTTCATGTTTGCATGAACTGGATTGCTGCAGTAAGTTGGGTTTTGCTGCTTTCTCTTGTGAAATTCCTTAAAGGAATCTTATTTCTGAGTAGTTTACTGGTGATCTTTTAAGACAGTTTTCTCAAACACCAGTCATTTGCTGGGAGTTTCAGGAGAAAAGAAGTTAAGAGTTGCTTTTTTCTGAGTGAGTTTGAGGGAAGCAGAAAGAAAAGATGTTGTAGGGCTGAGTTTGAGGAATCAGATCTAAAACCAAGAGAGGGGAAGCAATAAGGTAAAATTGGCAGAGAACATTTATTTAGTTGTGTGAAGATTGCCTTCTGCAGTTGTGGGTGCTTCATAACTGAAGTTTTCAAAAATAGATTGGACAACCATTTGACTGGGATGGTGGGACATTCCTGCCTTGAGCAGGAGGTTGGGCTAGAAGACCTCCAAGGTCCCTTCCACCCCATGATACTGTGATTGAAAGATTGTTGATTGAAGGATGCTGAAGATTTGTTCTTAGTTCTACTCTGTGCAGCACATTTGATTTTTGGGTATTTTTGTATCTCCTCCAATTCTTAATCCATCTCCCTCTCTCTCTCTCTCCCTCCCCCCCTCCCCCCAAACTGCTGGTTTTAGGATGCAGGTCTTAGGCACAGGCAACCTACTGCATTAAACTATTATTTTAAATCCCAACAATATTATTTTTATTCAAAAATCTCTGATAAAACTGGGATGGGGTGGTGCAACTCTCCTAGTGCTTCTTGAACTCTTGGTAGCTTCCAACAACAGTTACCATAATACCCTTTTGGATGAATTTCAGGGTTTATGGACCAGTTGTATCTTTTGTATTTTTAATTCTTCCTCCCATTCAAGAACAGATAGGGATATTCTAAACACCTACCTCTAGCCATGAGATCCTAGGAAAAAGCACATATGTTTTAAGGCATTGCTAATATATAAAACATGAGCACCTTTGCTTGCTCAAAGAATTTGTTTTCATTGACTCCAACTGCAAAGTACCGAATTATTCAGTAATAAATTAGTTAACTTTCAAGTGCTATAAAACTATTCTATATTATTATAGTATGTTAAATTTTATTATTATTTATTTTATTAATTCAACTTATATATCGTCCTTGTCCCCAGGGAGACTCAGGGCGGTGGACAGCCAAACTTAAAACACATATAGTACAAAAGTTAAGAAAAAACTAAAATAAATTAAATCATCGGCATTTCCAATTTAAAATCCCAGATCTGCAAAATTGAAAAGTTCCCAATTTAAAACACAGAATCAATAAAATCAAAAATTTAAAAACCCCATTAAAACCATTTAAGCTAGGCCAGCTTGTTGGAATAAATAAGTCTTCAGGGCCTTTCAGAAAGCGCGGAGGTCCGGGATCAGTCGTATTCCAGGAGGTAGCTCATTCCACAAGTTGGGTGCCCCCACAGAGAAGGCTCTCCCCCCTGGGGGCCGCCGGCCAACATTGCTTGGCCGACGGCACCCTGAGGAGGCCCTCTCTGTGCGAGCGTACTGGCCAGTGGGAGGTTATCGGTAGCAGCAGGCGGTCTCGCAGATATCCCGGCCCTATACCATGGAGCGCTTTAAAGGTGAGAACCAACATCTTGAAGCGCACCCGGAAGACCACTGGGAGCCAGTGCAGCTCGCGCAGGACAGGTGTTATGTGTAATAAAAGATACTTGATAAGTACATCCCTCTCATTATTAAAATTGAACATTCCTAATTTCTTTTGTCTTTCTTCCCAAGACTTAGTTTCTAGTTCTCTGAGCATCCCTATTGTCCTTTCTTTGCTTCTATTCCAGTTTACCCATTTTTTCCCCATATTATGCTATTTGAATATTCAAAGCGGATATGTAATAAAAACAGAGTGGAAGAATTGCTTTTCGTATTTGGAAAATATATTTCTGTTAATGTGTCCTAAAACTAAATTTGCCTTTTTAACAGCAACATCACAATGCAGCTTGTGATCAACCATAATTCTAATTTCTTTTCCCCACAACTCTTTGAGCCAGATATGCCCTATTCTTTAACTATACATTAGTTCCCCCCCCCCATGACAAATGTTAATTTATCTTATACAATTTCATTATTTTCAAGCTATTCCTGCAAGGAAGAGCATTTTGAACTACATTTTTTCTAGAGTGTGAGCTATGCCATTACATTTTGAAATTCATCTGTAAATTGCAAAATTGATAAATATTTCTTCCATCACTTTGTTCAATGAAGAATACTGAAGAATATCTGGATGAAGCCCCACGGTGGTCCAGTGTGATGAGGAATCATTGACAACTTTACATAGCCTTAAAGTCAAATATTGTCCAACTTTTAAAATCTTATTTTAAAAATAATTTATTTATTTTTTTTAAAAAATCACAATAGAGCCTGGATAGCACTGTAATTTAACACCAGCTGTCTGCAATTAAAGTAAGTTCGAATCTTGCCAGGCTCAAGGTTGACTCAGCCTTCCATCCTTTCTAAGGTAGGTAAATTGAGGACCCAGTTTGTGGGGGCAATAAGCTGACTTTGTATAAAATATACAAAAGTATGAAGGCTATTGCTTAACGCACTGTAAGCCGCCCTGAGTCTCCGGAGAAGGGCGGTATATAAATCAATTTTTTTTAAAAAAAATAGTCGAACAATTATGTATTGTGTCCTTGTAAATTATCTGCTCCTTTCTTTCCTTTGTCAGTCAACATTAAAAGGTTTATGCATCCTCTTTTCCTCCCATTTGTCCTCCTTTCCAATGATCTGTGTAATCTTTTGCCTTTTCAAATATCTGATAAGAACAGATATAACAATCCTAGTGAATTTAAAACTGAGTTACCTGCTCAGGACTTACTGGATCTAAACTAATTCCTTCCTTGAGATATATATTGCTTACCAGAAAGTTGACTGTCTCAGTCACAAACACCAGAAGGAACAATGTCTTAAGAAAAGTTTTTTTCAACAACAGAGCTTCTCTAGACATACCCCCTCTGTGTTTCAGTTTTCAATCTTCAGTACATGAGGGATAATACAGGCAAAAATAAGGAATGTATGTAATCCTCTGAAACCAGTCTTTACTATGCCAGTGCAAGATTTTTTTAGTAACATTTCTTTTGTAGTACTGGGAGGTCTGAAGACCTGTCAGCCAGATGACTATTTAACTCATGTACTGCTGGCACCTAAAGATGAGAAAATTGACTGGAAGAGAGGATAGATGGTTCATTTGCCAGTTATGTACAAGCATACAACCCAGCCCACAAATAACTAATTATCTAATCAGAATGTTATGGGATACTAACTCTTTCTGTAACTGGGTTAGTCTAGGTTAGATTCAATTATATAAATGCATCAGTGCACGGATTATTTGGAAACAAGTTGCAATCTGGAAATCAAATTCATATAAGAACAGTAAATAATGAAGTTACCACAAGCTCTTTCTACTATTTCACTGACCTTGGAACTGCCTTCTTCCAAAATTTCTCCCTCATCGGTTTGCATGGGAACAGAATATGTGCAAAATTCTGCTGAAATATGAAATTCTGCCAAAGAAAAAGAATGGAAGGAAAATACATTAAATTGTTTGTCATACTGATTATGGACTTTGAACTCTATTTCTAGAGATAAAAAAGAAGTTATCAGGCCCAAGAAACTTGAAAGGTACAGAATTTTAAATTATAAAATTCAAGAAACACCCTGTCCCTTCATTCAAGGCTTTCTACAAACATCTAGCTTATTCACAATTACTTTGTTCGTTCTGAAGTACATCTAGATCTTCCACTATGGATTAGTGAACAGATATAATAAATACCTTAATATATTTTTGAGGTTTTTTGTATTGATTTTTGTTCTTAAATGTTTACAACTGTAAATGGCCCAGAGTTCCAGGGAGTTAGGCAGTCTATAAATTTAATGAATCATCACTGTTTTTTTAAAACCTGCATTCTTACTAAAAAAAAAGTTGGCCAAGTAAGGTGAATTGAACAACCATAATGACTTTAACAAGGCAGAGGAAAATGGAATATAGCACAATAAAGAAGGCTTATCCCATCTTTTCCCCTTTCCTTCATATTATAAGCAATATTATATCCAAAGCACCATTATGGCTATTTTGTTCCCCCCCCCCCCACTATCTTTTATTGTGTTGGCTAGAACTGGAAAGAGTTAAATTCTGTAACATATGGAAATATTTAAATTGCAAAACAACTACTTGAGAAAAAGGAGGACCTGATCCTCTAATGCCAGGTATGTAATATTGTGCCATACTTTAACTACACCATTTCAGCTGTTGAGCAAAATAACTAGGAGAATGATTGTGTTATTGTGATACTGATCTGGAGATCTGTCTTAAGTAAAACCTTTGTATGCACTCAGTATAGCCAAAATTTAAAGGAATAATATTTCTATACTGACAATTTTGCTGTGGAATTCTTTTAAATTATAATCAATATATTCAGGAAAAATAAAATATCAAATCTGAAATGACCACAAAAATCAATGTTGTCTTCATATTTTCCATATGTACAATTTTATGCAGTTATATACAGTTGCAAGAAAAAGTATGTGAACCCCTTTGGATTATGTGGAGTTTTGCATGAATTGGTCATAAAATGTACTCTAAACTTCATCTTCAACAATAGAAAAACACAGTCTGCTTAAAATAATACTACACAAACATTAGATGTTGCCATGGTTTAATTGAACATAACATGTAAACATTCACAGTGCAGGGAGGAAAAAGTATGTGAAGCTTTGGACTTAATAACTGGTTGACCCTCCTTTGGCAGCAATAACCTCAACCAAACGTTTCCTGTGTTGCAGATCAGACCTGCACAACGATCTGGAGTAATTTTGGACCACTCCTCTTCACAAAACTGTTTCAGTGTAGCAATATTCTTGGGATGTCTGGTGTGAATCGCTCTCTTAAGGTCATGCCACAGCATTTCAATCGGGTTGAGGTCAGGACTCTGACTGGGCCATTCCAGAAGGCGTATTCTGTGCTGTTGAAGCCATTTTTTTTGTTGAATTACTTGTATGCTTTGGGTCATTGTCCTGTTGCATCACCCATCCTCTGCGGAGCTTCAGTTGGCGGACAGATGGTCGTACGTTTCCTGCAAAATGTCTTGATAAACTCTGGAATTCATTTTCCCATCAATGACAACAATCCGTCCAGGCCCTGAGGCAGCAAAGCAGCCCCAAACCATGATGCTCCCTCCGCCATGTTTTATAGTGGGGATGAGGTTTTGATGTTGGTGTGCTGTGCCTTTTTTTCTCCACACATAGTGTTGTGTATTCTTCCCAAACAACTCAATTTTGGTTTCATCTGTCCACAGTATATTTTGCCAGTAGTGCTGTGGAACATCCAGGCGCTCTTTTGCAAACTTCAAACGTGCTGCAATATTTTTTTGGGACAGCAATGGCTTCCTCTGTGGTGTTCTCCCATGTACTCCATTCTTGTTTAATGTTTTCCTTATTGTAGATGTGTCAACAAAAACGTTAGCATGTGCCAGAGATTTCTGTAGGTCTTTAACTGACACTCTAGGATTCTTCTTTACCTCATTCTGCGCTGTGCTCTTGCAGTCATTTTTACAGGACGACCACGCCTAGGGAGAGTAGCAACAGTGCTAAACTGTCTCCATTTGTAGACAGTCTGTCTTACCGTGGACACATGAACATCAAGGCTTTTGGAGATACTTTTGTAACCCTTTCCAGCTTCATGCAAGTCAACAATTCTTGATCATAGGTTTTCTGAGAGCTCTTTTCTACGAGGCATGGTTCACATCAGACAGTGCTTCTTGAAACCAGTAAACCCAAAACAGGTGTGTTTTTTTAAAGGGCAGGACAGCTGTCAGCAACACATCCAATATCATCACACTGATTGGAGTCAAGGTTGGCTCACTCCTGGCTCCAATTAGCTCTTGGAGAAGTCATTAGGCTAGGGGCTCACATACTTTTTCCTCCCTGCACTGTGAATGTTTACATGTTATGTTCAATTAAACCATGACAACATCTACTGTTTGTGTAGTATTATTTTAAGCAGACTGTATTTTTCTATTGTTGTGACTTAGATGAAGTTCAGAGCACATTTTATGACCAATTCATGCAAAACTCCACGTAATCCCAAGGGGTTCACATACTTTTTCTTGCAACTGTATTTCTATTTTAACCAACTTACCTTGACAGTTTCTTAGGGCTATTGAAGCCCACTAGCACCTGTCCTGGCTACATTCAGTGCAAAAGTCAAATTACTGTAGAAAGAAAAACAAAAAGAAACCAGCATTTTTCTATTGTTCATAACAAGGGAACAATTATTACATTATAATGACACTTCACCATTAATAATTTCACTTCAATTCTAAAAAGCCTTAGAAATAACAAAGCAACATATTAAATATTACTTTTATTTTGACAAATACTATACATTTTATCTCAAAGGTAACAGTAATACAATTCTTGATTTGGAAAAATAAGCATAGACATTTATGCACTATGTTACTATTGTATGAATTGCCATACAGATAATCCTTGATTTATAACCGTAATTGAACCCAGACATTTGGTCATAAGGCATTGTGGTCACAAGTCAAGTCGCCATGTGATTGGACTTAATTTTACAACTGTTTTTACAATAGTTATTAAATGAGTCAGGATGGTAATTAAGTGAATCATGTGACTGTATGCTTGAATCCAGCTTATCCAATGGGCATTTTTTTCCAGAAAATTGCAAAAATGGTGCAAAAAGCAACCACATGACTGCCGAACACTGCAACCGATTGTGAATTCAAGCCAGCTGCCAAGTGCCTGAAATGCAATCATGTGACTGCTTGGGTGGTACAGCAGTCGTAACTTTGAGGCAGGTCACATCTAACATTTTTCAAGTCAGTGGTAACTTTGAATAATTTTTAAACATCTGGTCGTAGGTTGAGGACTATCTTGTATAATAATAAATAGTCTGGTGAAATATAGACTGGCTATTAAAAGCAGAAGGTTCCACATGTTGGAGAACTAAGTTATATCCCATAGTAGAAAAGAAAGAATAACCAAAACAATCTAAAGGTGCCAAGTAGCAAGCCATGATATTAACTATGAATGGCAGTTGGCAAAATGCCATTATTAAGAAGGATCAAATTGAAGTTCCTGTTCCAGCCATCAGAACTATTCAAGGCAGCCCTGAAAACCATTCAGAACGTCAGCTGGTCTAGAATACAGTGGCTCAGGCACTGATGGGTATGTATGTCTGGGTATGTTCATGAGACACCTCCACTTTGCGAGCTGCACAGGCTACCCGTATGCTTCCTGGTGCAAGTGCTGGTCTATAAAGTCCTACATATCATATGGCTAGGTGATGTGAGGGATTGTCTATTTCTATAGTTTCTCTCTAGTTAACATGTAGTGGAAGAGGGGCCACGATGGCTCACATGGTAAGACGCTGGGCCTGCACACTGCTGAAGTCTGCTAAGGCCGGTGGCTCGATTCCCGTGAGCAAACAAACCACGTAGGGACAAGAAAGGAGCCTCCCCCGATTGCCTACCAGCATTCAGGCATCCCATGGGTAGAGATAACACCGCCTGAAAAATTCCTTTCACAGAGGCAGCTAGCCACCTCGGTGATCCCTGGTTAACACATGCCATACGCTAAAAAAAAAAAAAAGTAGTGGAAGAAGGCATGCTCAGAGTACCTTTGATCAAGTATTGCCATCTAGGAAGTATCTGTATCTGTCATAGTTCTTATGCTTTGAAACAAGATTCTCCACTGAAATCCATTTGATTGCCTTTCCCTAAGGCCCTAAAGACTTGTTTTCCCAGATCTCAGGTTAGGGTGAATTTGACCAGATCCCCAACTTCTTTTGTGTTGCATTTTCATTGTTGATAATATTACGAGTTACTCATAATCTGTTTGAAGTTGGGCAGAACCTAAACTAAATGAAATCAAAATCTAATCAATCACTAATTAAGTATCAACCACAAATAAAAGAAAAAGCTGATCCATTTCAGCAATTACAGCAGAAATCAGAATACAGAAATAACCATCTTAGACCACTCAGTTAGATATACCTTTTATTATTAATTTCTATGCTGTCCACCTTGCCGAGGCCTGTTGTATAAATTGTTGTATAGTTAACAGTATTTTTAAAACACAGCTGTACTAGAGGGCACAGTGATTTAACAAACGTGATATTTAATCTTATGTACTTTCATCTCTGATCTATGTAAAACACATCATATAATTGCAGTAGCTTACTACTGCACAAGTGTCAGTCCAAGGGCCAGATAAAGCCTTCCAAAAGCAGCTATTAAGGATCTTTAAACATTGCTGCCAAATTGTGGCTTTTAGTATGAAAGGGAGGATTATTAATACAAGTAAAATGTTCACATTAAACACATGCATTTAATCTTAAATTTAATTTAAATCCAATACAATTTCCACTGTCTATTTGATGTGTGTGTGTGGTGGGGGGGGATGGAGGATAGAGAATGAGAGATCTCTGGCAAATCAATCAAAAGACAACTATTTTGTCACCAATGCTGTCACGCTCCCTTTGCACAGCAAGGGAACACAAGCATGAATTAAGCAAAATCGAGAGGCTACCATATGTAGACATAGCCAGTAATTCTGTGGAAAAATCCTTATATCCTAGTAATGCCACAGTAAAAACTTCCCTTAGATGCTTTCTATCAAGTAAAACCTATCCAAAAGCATTTGCAAAATTTGCTTTTCCTAACTGAGAATATGTAAACATAGCATAGGAAATTCATGTACTTATAGATGTTGACAAAATCATATTGGATAACAATATGTATATGTATCTTAATTAGTATAACAGGAATTTAACTGATAAGATTTTTCAAAAGAAATTATTAACTTCATAATTTGGCATATTCCTATAAAACAAACTTGAATAAAACAACTAAATTGTTTACCTGCATTAAAATCCTGATGGTCTCATCAACAGCAGCTTCAATTATCTATAGATTTTATATAATCAGTTTAAGAGTCAAAAAAGCATTTAACTATAAATTCAATATTAGATAGCACATTTTTCTCTTTGCTTTACAGTCAAAATGAAATATATATCTGTATATATTATACTACAGACTCATAAGCTTTTCTAAGTCAGAGAAGGTTACTCTAAACATTTTATAATTTACACATTATAAGACAAGATTTATGACTGGGATAATTAATGTTCCCCTTGTACATGAAATCCATTGTGATATTTATGAGCATTTTATTTTTTAATCATCAGATAATTTAGGAACAATTCAAACCGGAGAGTTTTTTGCAGAAACCTGTCATCCCACAGAATGCCTCAAAATCCAGGAAAGCCATATAGATGCTGAAAAAGTAAAATGACAGGTATCTGTGGAGATCAGCAATTCTTGGTGAAAATCTCACTTTCCTCCCACAAAAAGAAAAACTCTATTGTTGCTGCTTGGGAAGAAGGGTAAATTGGGATGGTATCAGGGCAACTAGGGACAGCTGGGAAGTATGCAGAAGGAGGAAACAGCATGACATAACCAGACACAGAAAGAATAAGAAAAATGGATTTGGATAGGCAGTGTTGCACAGAACAAGTTGATATAGGAAAAACTGTGGGACATTCCAATTCGGTAAGGGGATTCTGTGTAATGGCAATGTGAACCGATTAAAAACAAGGGGAACAGAGATAATCCGAATAAAGAGAAATAACTACAGTTTCAAAGGAGAGTATTTGTATTTTGAGATTTAGGAACCTTTCCTAATTTCTACTTGGATTCATAAATAAGTTGCTTATTTTAACCAAACCTTTCCATCTTTTAAGAAACAATTTTTTTGCATTCCAGAAATAGTTTAAAAGGTATTCTCTGCCATAGTGGTTCAAATTGTTATATGACTAAAAGACAATTATCAAATTCTATAACATATAACATGAATGCAAGCACAGAATAGATTCTTACCTAAGCAACACAGGAGAGTAGGATCCATTTTAGTTAATGTTATTATTTCTACAATCTTTCACTCCATATTTAGCAATAATTAAGGGATGTTATTATCTCTTAAAGTTGACATCAACTTTGTTCCTTGCTAGCATAGCAAATACTAGTTTTGCATTCTGGTTTGCAGGCAACTGTGCTAATATTAAATGTTCTTCCAAACTCAACCTGACTCTTCAACTACAGAGGTGAATCTTCCCCTTAATTTTTTAAAGGCTAGTCAATGCAGCCACTAATTTCCTAATTACACCTTCATGCTAGTTGATTATTACATCGATAAGGTGCAGCACCATACTATGGATCATAAAGGGAAAGGAGCACCTAAAGCTGCACTTTTCTTGCATGGCAGGTAGTAATCTTACTTCAGCAAACATTTAACACCATGAGAAGGAACTCATCGTACGTTTGTTACACCTCTTTTTTTTACCATCCATCATGCACGTATGTTGATCCAGCGTGACTCTAATGTTATATTTAAATGATTTTATGACTTTCATTTGAGCTCTTCCGTGTCTTGTTAGTACAACCGAGAGAAACACGCTGCCTTCAGTTCCAATATTTCTTAGCCGGACCAAATAAATATTTACACGGTAATGCTCTAAACTAGCGACACTAGAGGCTGCGAGAGTCCCGTTGATGGAAGAAGGAAACAGAAAGCCAGCCAGGCGATGACACTTATTTATATCTTTTAGGATCGTTTTTCACGCTGTATTTAAAGGACCGGGAACTGCTACAACCGACGCTGCTATAAATAAGACTTTACACCAACGTTCAGGATAGTCCGGTTGGCTTTGGAAGCAACTCCCGGACTTCACCGAGAGCAAATACGTGCAAAGCTGGGCTCCAGAAGCGGATGAGACCGAAAAGCAGCCGGTAGGTTGCCGACGACTTTCCTCCAAGCGGGGAAGCGATTCAACATGCTACGGAAATCGCATTCATGGGTTCTGGAGGAAACTTTTCCTCAGGGGACGAGACTCAATTCAGCCCGCAAAAAAAAAAGGTGTCGCTGACGGGGGAGGGGAACCGTTCCTTTAAGTCAGTGTTTCTCAACCTTGGTAGCTTGAAGATGGTTGGACTTCAACTCCCAGAATCCCCCAGCCAGCAGCGCTGGCTGGGGGATTCTGGGAGTTGAAGTCCACCCATCTTCAAGCTACCAAGGTTGAGAAACACTGCTTTAAGTACTCGACGATCTACTACGAATACCCTCGGATAAACCGTCAGTGCGCAGGCGCAGCTGCGGAAACGCCTCTAAGCCCCCCCTCCCCCCCCCCCCCCGCAGTAGCCAAATAACTCCGATCCGGGGAAGCTTTTGCGGCTTACAGACGCTAAATAAGGCAGATCCACACACACACACCCCTCTTAGGGGTGGGAAGGGGTGGGAGAGACCCTAGCGAAAAATACGACTGGCGACCGAGTAGAAGGGAGGGGAGATGAAAGCGAGGCAACCGTTGGGTTTCCCTTCAGGATTTATAATCGCTCCGGGCGGAATGGCGAGGATGCTGTGGAAAGGCTCCATGGCGTTACCTCAAGACGCCCGGGCTACTGAAACCGAGCACGGACCCGTATCCCCGAGGCCTGCGTCGCCACTCACCCACAAAAAGCCACGATTGTCGCCCCTCCGTTCGCCGCGGTGCAGCCGCGAAGCCCACCGCCTCCTCCTCGGCGGTTCTGCAGGAGCCGCTATAGCCGCCTTACCAGCTTATCTTTAAGATCCAAACAAATGGCAGGGGGAGGAGGGAAACACCGCCTCCAAAAAATAAACTTTCCTCGTCGCCGCCGTCTCACTCCCTGGAGAAGCACGAACCCAAACACATAGAGACCCGCCTCCCGAGCCGCCTATTGGTAGCCCTGCAATAAGGCTCGAGTCCATTGGTTTCGTTTTCTGGCTGTCTTTAATACGACCTTCCCCTTTCTCCCGCCTCTCCCTCTTTTCCATTGGCTAACTGCCTAACTGTGCCGCGATACAATGGTTAAAAGTTTATGTCTATCAACTTTAACTCCGCCCTCTAAGCTTGTGATGATAATTGGACGGTGTGTAAACCATCCGGTGTCTTATTGGCGAAGCCAACTACGTATACTGCTTTAAACTTGAACCTTTCTTCTTTTTTTCTCCTGGCTTTTCTCTAATTCGCTAAAAATACAGTCCGTCAAGTTAAACTGCATATTGTCCCACCCATTTGATTCCTCAACCGAAATGATTGGTTCTATATTTCGTCACCACAACTAATCCACAGCATTCATGGAAGCCGCTATAAAATCAGAAAAGGGACATTCAGAGCGCCTAGGCCGTGTCCTTTTATGGCTTACGCATTTGGAACTTTTTGCTTCGAACGTCGATTCCCTGTGGCGTTCATAAATATCAAAGCCGGGTGGTTTGTACCCATTAATCACTTGAAAACGGTTAGCATAATGAAATGGTTAAGATAATGGAAATGCCACCATGATGCTCCTGCGTTCAAACGTAGTTCTCTAGGCGTAAGTAAAGCAGTAGCGCTATCACTTGAGTCCTAACGGGAATTGTAATGTTTCCACATTAAAAGGCAACAGGCAAATTATTCCGTATCGCGTTTTCTTCGCTCAAATTGTTAAAAAAAAAAAAAAAAGCCTTCCAATACTTTCGCCTTCCAGTCAGCCTCGCGCAAGCGCAGTGCCAAGTGCTCTGCGCAGCTGTGGGACCACGTGGGCGTTTGTTGCTGATCCGGCACGTGGCCTCGGGCAGCCTCCGCGTGACTATGACAGCAGGAGCCCTTCAGGGCGACGCTGCTTTCGGTGTAAGCCTGACTGGCGGGAGTCCTCTCGCGCGCCCCCCCCCATCCCACCCACCCCCCTCTTTTGGATTTAGGTCGTGAGATCGGGAACGGCTGTTGGTGCCGTCGGGGCAAGTTTTAGGGCAGAGGTTGAGGGGGGCCCCGGTTAGCAGAGCAAACGGAGCGCAACTGCAGCAGAGCTGGCTTGTTACCTTTGGAAAAAAGCCAAGGGACAATTAGTGTCTCCCGTGCTTCGTGTTCTGAGTTAGCAACCCAAACCATAAACTCAGGGGTGAAATCCAGCAGGTTCTGACAGGTTCTGGAGAACCGGTAGCGGAAATTTTGAGCAGTTCAGAGAACCGGCAAATACCACCACTGGCTGGCCTTAGAGTGGGATGGGAATGGAGATTTTGCAATATCCTGCCCCTGCCATGCCCATCAAGCCACGCCCCGCCCACCAAGCCACACCTACAGAACCGGTAGTAAAAAAATTAAAAAAAATTTTTTTACTAAAAAAATTAAGATTTCACCACTGCATAAGCTCCCCCAGCGGATGCATTTATGTAGAATAAAGGTAAAATCCCTCTGGAGTTGAGCTCTGCTTCTAGTGACTTGGGTGGATGTGACTATTCCCAAAGAGAGAGCACTAGAACTGATATATTCAAGGACCTTTACATGAAATCCAAGAATTTAAGCAAAATAAACATTAGGAAACTATATATATATATATATATATTGTTCAAATAGAACTGCATATCCACCCCCTTCCAATAATATTTCATTGCTTAATCCCCAGTGTTGAGTTGGTGGTTCTTTTTTTCCATGTGTCCCTTGTTTTTGTAATTGCCAGTTATGGTCTATTTTTCATGTGAGAACTCTCATAGGTGTCAGCCTGGAAGTGATTTTTGTCAGTGCCTTCTTTCAGGAAGGCTTTTAACTTGTCAGACTCTAGTTTATAGATTTTAGGCTTTCTGATAGTTTCCCATTCATTAGGTTGCTTTTTGTTTAAATGTTTCTGGGTTAGCCAAGGTTGCCCAAGTGCTGTTTAGCCACACACACAAAAAAAAACCTTACAAAATAAATAGGAACAATGTTTAATATGCAATGTAAATGCATCTGGTAGGGTTTTATTGAGCTTTGAAGCATGTTTTTATTCATGCCCATTAGCTCAGATCCAAAAAGTTGTGTCTAGAGTAGTAGACCCACTGAAATCAGCACAATTTCAGCTAATAACTAAACTTCCTGATTTGTCACTGGCCAAATAGGCCAAATTTAACATGAAGCACAGGTTTCCATAATGCATGATAAGCATTATTAAAAGTTTCTTATTGTTGTTAAGCTTCAAGTGTGTACGTGGCATTCATTCAATATCTAATCTTTATTATGGTCACGGACCAGCACAAAAAATGTACATGACATATTACAAAATGTTAAGAATATAGTTTCCTAACACTTAAAAGCTTTCCTCTCCTCAAAAGAATCCTTCTGCCTTTTATTTAAAGATGAAACAAAATAGATAAATCTTATGTTTATATAACATTTGGTTTTACTTTGAAATATTAGCAATTTAGATTTGAAGATTGCTATAAGATAATGCTTATAAAGCATCAGAAGAGACAACAAGAGATGTGAAGTTTACCGGAGGCCTTCAGAAATTGTGCTTTTTCCTTCTGAAATCCTCTTTTTGATTTTTGCAAGTAGTTAAAGGTCAAAATATTCACATAGTCTGTTAAAGAACATTTTCATTACTTGCAAAAATATTTTTTCATTATTGATGGCAATCATTCAGTTTAAATGTAATGTTAATTATTTACTGTAGCTTGAATGTATACATTCTTACATTTTGCTATTATGGCTTAATCGAGGCTGATACGTTTAAATTATTGAACTGTGAAACATTTAAAACAATATTATTTGCTTAAAATCTCATCTATTTGCAAGCAATTAAGCAAATGTCATTGAAGCTCCCGTTACTAGAGTCTGACATTGCATCCAGAAACCATAATCAGACATGGTAAGCTCATCTCTTATATTTCTTCCTTCAGTTCCTGCTTCATTTCTTTTATTTGTTAAAACTTTCCTTTAGGAGCTGAAGATGTCCTGCAATATTTTCCCTTAAGAACAAACCTATAAAGTAGATTGATTTGGGAGAGTAAGATTGTGGAGAAGTTTAGAATGCACAGAAGTGGGAGTAAACACTAAAGTAATATAAGGCAAATCTGTTGGCAGCTTATTTCATAAATAGCAACTCAGTCCAGGTGGCAATATATGTGGAAAGAAGCATTTGAGATCATTCAAAGAGATTCCACCTAAATGAACTGTCTATCAATGAACTTGGAAGTTCTTTTTACAGCTTCCAAGATTCTATATTTATCAGAGATTAGCATTAAAGATAGCTTACTGAAATCTGTACTTCATGCTTTCTTGATTTGGTTCAGGTGTGTTGGGCTTGATTACTCAGTGAACTTCTCAGGTGATTGATAAACCAAAATTTGAATCTTCAAAGTCCTAGGCCTGAGCCTTAATCATTATATCACCAAGAAGGCCTACAACAGCAATCCTCAATGAAATGGTGGTGATATATTTGTTTTCCTTCACAAGTTGTATGATCTGAAGTCCAGGCAATGGGATCTTCTTGATTTATATACCATTTTTCTAGCCAATCATTGTTTAAATTGTATTTCTCAAACTCCACCATAAAAAAGAGGTAAATTATTTGCAAGGACAATAGGTGCAGAAATTGAAAGGTGAGAATTCAGGTCGAATAAATAACAATACTAGTTTACTTAAGTAACCAAAAAATTCCTAGACTCTAAGGCAATAGGCTGAAGTAAAAAATTTAGTATATGATTGCCAGTCCTAAAATGGAGATATTCTGTTCCTAAAAGGAGCTGCTCTAACCATGATTTTAACTGATATAGAACATAGAATCATAGGGCTGAAAGGGAACTTGGTCTTCTAGTCCAACCCTCTGCTCAAGGCAGGAGATCTTATACCATCTCAGTCAAATTGTTGTCCAGTCTAATATTGAAAACCTCCAGTGATGGAGCACTCACAAGTCTGGGAGGCAAGCTATTCAGGGGTTAAATGCTACCGGTTCGCTCCGGTTCGGGTGAACCGGTAGTGATAAAAACTACCTATTTGGGCGAACCGGTAGTAAAAAAAAGCTACCGGTTCAGGTGAACCGGGATTTTTGACGACCAGCTGTGCAGCGGGGTTTAGCTTTGCTAGAAAGCAAGAAATCCTGCTTTCTAGCAAAGCTAAACTGCACTGAACAGTTTATGATCCCCCC